CAAAAGTGTAAAGTGTAAACGTACTCTGAGCAGGGAAATGTGCTTCAACAATCATCGGAAGTAGCTTATTTGATGTATATCAAGAGTAACCCTGATTGAATACCAGAGAGACTTTGCCCTAAAGGGATTATACAGGCTTATTTATTTATTGTAAATGAAAATTTTAAAAAATGTTAAACATACCCAAAATGAACATAAATTGTTACCGTTTCTGTGTGGTGTGTAATCTTTCCTCAGAAACTAGCAGAAGTCGCCATCACTGCTAATTTCTGTTGAGCCGATCGGTTTGTCATGTTCTAATGCCTGTAAAATCTTTCTTCCTCTTTCTCGTCAACTTGTCAAGATATTCGCTAATAACATCCAAAAAAATGAGATGCAAGAATAAGATTTTTAATGTGTGACAAGGGTAATGGCAGGGGCGGATCGAAGACCGATTTTGGAGGGAAATTCTAATTTTTGGGTTCCGAAATTGGCGGGGTCATATTTTACAGATTTTATAAAATGTTTCGCAGGCTACACGCAAGCTCATGCTGCCCGTACCGATTTTCATTCCGTTTTATTATTATAACGAAAATGTTTTTGCTTGAATGTTACGTTACAAGTTAAAAATAATAGTTACTGAAAAATTTTAGGGGGAGGGGGTAATTTCCTTTATTGCCCTCCCCATGAATCCGCGCCTGGATAGTGGACTGACGACTGCTCTTTTATTCGATTTTGGTAGTTTTATTTTATCTTTTTTTTATGTTCTCTAAAAATAATTTTTCTCTTTCACAAACAATACATGCCTTGCCAATCCTTCCTTTTTTAATTTATTAATTTACACGGTCTCAATAACCAACTAGATAATCAGCGACTCATTATTATGCATTAATATGAAGAAACATTACAGTTTTAACAAAACAATGTCAAGTCCTTACACTTTTTTCCCATTTCATGGTATGTTTAATCATAGCTATCAACCATTAAAATATTCAACAAAAATAAAAACAGAAATGGAACCAATGACCCTAAGGAGAATAGACATCACGAAAGTATGGATTAGACAAGGTAACGCGAAGGGACAAATATGAAGTTACATTTTGAGCCGCAAATTCGAGATCAAAGAGAATGTTGTACGAAGATGGCCTGCCACGGACCAGAATAGGGGGTCGTACGAGGTCCGGATGCTGGTACAGTTGCGGTTACTTAGTACGGGCGGTGCGGCGACGGCGGTACTGGGGCGGGTAGCGGGCGGCAGGGTAGCGGGGCGGTAGCGGAGCGGTGGTAAGCGGGCTGGGAGGGCGTTCGGCGCAGGGTAGCGGCCCGTCGGCGGTGAGGGAGGGCGTTGTGCGGAAAACCCTTGCTTGGATGGCGTACATGCAGAGCGTTTGAGGGAAGGGTGCGGGTTGCGCAACAGGCGACTGGTCACGCGAACAGACCTCGGGTTCGCTTCGCGGTTGAGGTACAGCCCATGCGGTTTGAGGCTGACCCTTTA